GATCGAGATCGTGATATTGAAATTATTTACGTGAAAATCGTATTTAAAAATAAAGTATACTCGATATTTCTACTGCAATTTTCAGAAATGATTACACACTGTGAGATTATGTATATATATATTTTGCATTATGTATATATATATAGGTATGTTTTGAAAAAGTTGCGTGAACTTGTTTTTGCCTTATCTTTTCTTTCTTTCTTTTTTTTTTTTTTCTTTTCTTCCATAGACAAGATTTGATTTGAAAAATCTTGCCCGTCTCGTCTTTCCATTAATTATCATTGATCCCGCTTGATCGTTAATACGCACACCGAGGCGTACACCGAGACAGTACGACAGACCCACTTGAGAAATTCCACTTAAGAACGTGGTAACTTCATTCAAGTTTGAAGTTCAGCCTGCTTATGGTGCTCGAGATCCTTAAAACTGCTAAAAACTGTAAAAAAAAAAAAAAAAAAAAAAAAAAAAAAAGAAATGTAATTAACCATAACGGAGAATAGAGGAGAGACAGATCGAGGCATGCAGATCGATTTTCGATTTTCGATTTTCACTCTCTCGAACTTTCTGCTTTCAGATCCCGAACCGGTCACATCCATCGAAGCCATGGACATCAACGACACGAGGATCACGCTTACGTGGGACATACCGCGTGGACAGTACGACGCGTTCGAGGTTCAATACATAAACACGGAGGGGAATTACATTCAGAACATCACCACCGTGAACTCGATAACGATCTCCGATTTGAAACCGCATAGAAATTATACTTTCACATTGGTGGTCCGTTCCGGGACCGCATCCTCTTATCTGAGAATATCGAATCCTCTGAGCGCGAGTTTCACCACAAGCGAGTCCTATCCCGGAAAGGTGGAGAAGTTCCATCCCACGGATATTCAACCGAGCGACATTAGCTTCGAGTGGTCGCTCCCCAGCCAAGAGCAGAACGGCATAATAATAAAATACACCATCACCTACGGTTTGGACGTGAGTATACACTTCTTTTTCCCCTATTATTATTATTATTATTATTATCATCATCAATCGTTCTTCCTAATTCGATGGAAAAGTTTAACGAACCGATATAACGTGACACAAATTCAATCTTATCTTGCTCTTCTCATCCAATATAAATCAGAGTATCAAAATTTTAATTAACGATACCTCCTCGTACGAATCATCAATCATTTCTACTTTTTTCAATTCCGTTTAACACGTCGACGAATTAATTTCTTCGTCTCGCGGAGAGACGAGCAGCATTGAATCGTGACTCATCCTCGTGTACGCCTCGCCTATCCTCGATATATCACGCGCAAAACGGAAGCTCTAAGGCGCTCGAATTGAAAAATGGATGAGAGGAGGGGGGAGGAAAAAAGGAGTAAGAAGAAGAAGAAGAAGGAAAACCGATAAAGAAAAAAAAAACACGCACGTATCTCGACACACGCACACATACACATATACGCACACTATTTTCAAGCAATTAAAAGCAAAGCTTGGAGGACGATACATAGGAGTTAAAGAGATCGTGATCAGGTTTAAATTAATCGTCCAAGTAAATTATCATTCTCCTCTCTCGATTCAGGGCTCGAACCACACTCAGATGCAGGATTTCAAGCCGAACGAATACCGCGGCGTGATCAAGTCTCTGATACCTGGAAAGACGTACATGTTCAGGATCCAAGCGCAGACGAGGATAGGGTTCGGGCCTGAGGCGGCGTGGAAGCAGAAGATGCCGATCCTCGCTCCTCCTAAACCGCCCACGCAGGTGGTGCCGACCGAGGTGTGCAGGAGCAGCACAACGATACAGATACGGTTCAGGAAAAATTACTTCAGCGAGCAGAACGGAGCCGTCACGTCCTACACGATCATCGTCGCCGAGGACGACAGCAAGAACGCGTCTGGCTTGGAGATGCCCAGTTGGAGGGATGTTCAGGCGTACAGTATCTGGCCCCCGTATCAGGTAAAAGATTCAAAAATTCTTTTCCTAGATTCTATTTTATATATAAGCTGTTGAAGAATAGAGAAAATTCTTCTCAACTTGTGATCAAATTTAATATCTTTATTTTCGTTTATTTTCGTGATCGAAAGTTCTAACGTTTGACAAATATATATATATGTGTGTGTGTGTGTATATCGTCACTGTTTCAATCGGTCGGCATCGCGCAAGGAATTGCAAGTCTCTGGGAAGGCGCATAATGGTCGATTACGTCAAATTTTTTTCATCGCAAGATGCGTCACGGCGGACGATATTGCAATCGTAAGATGTAAAATAAATTAAACGCGGCGCGTTGCAACTCGTTTAGTTGCCGGATCACGGACGGGCGAACGGGCTGTCTTAAGACCACGCATAAACAATCGTTTGTATACGTTGCAATTGTCGCGCGTTGCGGTAACCTCCTCCGCGTGGAACAGTCGATCGGTGAACGCGGTCGATTCTGGTCGTCGTCGTTAGAGGCCGAATCGTCGTATCATTGTCGTAATGGTGAGACGTGGTGGAAATTAAACGGGCAGCATCCTTCATGCTGCATAAAAATATAATGAAATAGTACGAATATGTCGATCGCTCGAGGAAAGGGTATTTCTCTTTTCTTTTCTTTTCTTTTTAAGCGAAGCTTTTCTTTTGAATCTGCTTTTATCAATTGGATATGACAGCATGAACGTGTTAGAGGAGTTGATTTTGAAAAGTACGAAATTCTTCACGCAGGTAATAATTAATGGGTATTAGTTTATAAAAATTAGTTTTATATTTGGTGTCTCTCCTTTTTTTCTTAATCGTGTTTTTTAATTAATATCGGAGGGGAATGGAAAATAATTAAGTACATTCTAGTCTCTATCTAGAGGAATAATAATCGAAGTTGATTTACCGTGTCCCTGAAAAAAATTTCCTCGAAGAAGAAAATCATAAAATCATGTGCATAAATCAGAACATGAAAGAAGAAGAAGAAGAAAAAAAAGAAAAACAACATGATAATACGCGATATTTATACGCGATTCGATATACGCGTGCAAATTGAGAAAATATGGTACGAATGTGAAATAAAAAATATTACACGATTACAAAGATAATTGCCCTCCGATATTATTAATTCTTGGAATTATTCTTACTTTGGACGTAACGTAGCCGCAAGCTACGTGCAGAAAAAAAACTTAGTAATAATAGAATAATAGAATAAATATAATAGTAATAATAGTAATAATAATAATAATAATAATAATAGAATAATAGAATAATAATAACTTAGTAATAATAAAATATAAGAAACACTTATCACTACTGTCACAAATGCAAATATATATAATTAAATATAATAAGAATTCTCTTCTTCTATAACAAATTTTAAATCGACGAACAAATTAATTGATCGGTTTAACAACTTTCAGGTGATGGAGCCTTACTATCCTTTCAAAAACGGTTCCGTGGAGGATTTCACGATCGGGAGCGAGAATTGCGACAACAAGATCGGATACTGCAACGGCCCGTTGAAATCTGGATCCACGTACAGAGTAAAAGTTCGCGCGTTCACCGCCCCGGACAAATTCACGGACACGAGTTACAGTTTCCCGATTCAAACAGGTGAGAACGATCGTGCGAAGAGCTGCTTGTGCTCCCGGCAATCGTTTCGACCGATCTTAGCAAATCCTCTTGAATTCTCCTCGAAACGGGAACGCGTTCCCCCCTCCCCCTCGGTTTCGAACCGATTCTCAAGAGGTTCGTGAGATTTTTTTCTTTCTTTTCTTTTTTTTCTTTTTTTTTTCATTATTTTCCTCCGTTGAAGGACTCGCCTTTTCTTCCGTTTCGAATGCGCGTTTATTCCAAGCATTCGTTTCGTTTCGCGGTTTAATCGTGGCGTAGGAAGCTTGCTAAATACATGCCTCGTTATTTCGTGTACATGTCTGTCCAAGGATTGCTGCTGGCAGGTAAGATGTGCAGAGATAACCTCTTTACTCAAGAATTTATAATTAGGATGACTTTAAAAGAATTCTAAGTAATTATCTGGCGGAGTAATCGTATTAATATTTAGTAAATTTTTTTTTTTTTCTTTCTTAATTATCTTTAATATATCTTCTTCCGATGTAGATAAGGACAATACGGCTATCATAGTTGGAGTCACGGTCCCGATAGTACTTTTACTGGCTTTATTGGGTATCGGGTTATTGGTCAGGCGGAGAAGAAGTCAGGGACGGAAGACAACCGAAACGAGGACCACCGACAATTTGTCCCTACCGGACAGCGTGATCGATACCAGGTCTAATATCTAATTCTATAATTTAAATAATTAATTTAATTTATAAATAATTTGATTTAAATATTAATTTGAAAAATTAAATGATTTTTCGATAATAATTCTCCCCTTCTTTTTTTTATTTAGTCGGCCAATCAAGATAGAAGATTTTTCTGAACATTATCGGACCATGTCGGCCGATTCCGATTTCCGTTTCTCGGAGGAGTTCGAAGAGTTGAAACACGTCGGAAGGGATCAACCTTGCACAGCCGCCGATCTACCGTGCAACAGGCCGAAGAATCGTTTCACGAATATTTTACCTTACGATCACAGCAGATTCAAATTGCAACCCGTGGACGACGAGGAGGGTTCCGATTACATCAACGCCAATTACGTCCCCGTGAGTAACGAAATTTGAATTTCATTTCAGAGAGAACGAGAATATTCTTTTCTCTTTCCTTTTTTTCGAAACTTCTCTTTTGAATCAGGGGCACAATTCTCCGAGAGAGTTCATCGTCACCCAAGGTCCTTTGCACTCGACGCGTGACGATTTCTGGAGAATGGTCTGGGAAAGCAACAGCAGGGCGATCGTAATGCTGACCAGGTGTATCGAGAAGGGAAGAGAGAAGTGTGACCATTATTGGCCAGTCGACACTCATCCAGTCTATTACGGTGACATTTGTGTAACCATATTGAACGAGACGCATTATCCCGATTGGAGCATCACGGAGTTCATGCTGTGCAGAGTGAGTAGGATACGTCTTTATCGACGAACGATCAAGATGTGTATCGCATGTGGAGACGCACTGCCCGCTACAGGCGAACGGACGAATTAACCGTTTCAGAAATAAGTAATCACAATTGCACAGTTTTCAAAGGCGTTTTCTTCAACAGGGTGACGCGAAAAGAGTGATTCAACACTTCCATTTCACAACGTGGCCGGATTTTGGCGTTCCAAATCCCCCTCAAACGTTGGCCAGATTCGTTCGAGCGTTTAGGGAAAGGGTTAGGCCGGATCAGAGGCCGATCGTGGTCCATTGCAGCGCGGGAGTCGGTCGTAGCGGTACGTTCATCACGTTGGACAGAATACTACAACAGATCCTGGTGTCCAAGTACGTGGATATCTTTGGAATAGTGTGGGCGATGAGGAAGGAGCGCGTGTGGATGGTCCAGACTGAGCAACAGTACATTTGCATACATCAGTGTCTTTTGGCGGTGTTGGAGGGCCAGGACATGACTGGCCCGCCGCGAGAGATTCACGACAATCAAGGATTCGAAGGTAAGTTTCGAGGTTAGGATATACGATTGAGTGATTCGATCCGGATCGTTTATTTACGAAGATAATTAAGCGATTAAACGTAAACGTGAAATTGACTCGAGTGTTATTTGCGACATTTGGACGAACAATGCATTTTCTCTCTCTTTTGTGTGAAGTCGAATTGTATTGTTCGAAACGGAGAACACGTAGTGCATGAATTATTCGATTATTCGAGATTTCCAAAGTTGACACATATTGGAATAATACAGATACGTATCTACGTATTATTTCGAAAAATCTAGTCCATCTAATTCTTCACTTTTTTCACTCGGTTAATCGCGGTGGATACGATACGATAAAATCTTCCAAATTCACGATTCTATATACGATATCGCAATGAAATTAATGAAAAATCACGATACAATGTATTGATCAAATGTATGCACAATAATTTAGTAGTATCTTTCTCTCGGAAAGTAAATTCGAAAGAGGATAATTATTAACAATCGTGTAAATTTAAATTTAGAATAGAAGATAATGATGGTGATGGTGGTGGTGGATGGTGGTAATGATGATGGTAGTAGTGCTATTTGGTATCATAAGATAAAAGTGAAGATGATATATCATCGGTTTTGTGTCACGTGAAAAAAGTGTTGCTTTTTTGGTAAATTTTGGTATCACGTCCGTGCGTAGTTGAATCACATCCCCTCTCCAACCTCGTAATCCCTTTGAATCCAGGCAAGAATCGAAGCTCGGTTGAAAATACAAACAGTCCTGGCGAGGATGAAAAGGAAAGGTGACCCTCGAACTGCGATTCCGGCGTCGATGGTAATTTCGATCCTCGCTTAATATTTTCATTTATTTAACCTATCTTTTTCATTTTTTTTTATTTTTTTTTTTTTTTTTTTTTT